TATAGAAAAATTAATGAAATTATAGGACAAAAAATCATTTATTAGATGGGATGGTTAAATTTATTCTCCAAAATAAATTTAAGGCAATTATGGAGGTAGGAATTTAGGACATTTCCTCAGATTTTGTTTTTAAGGCTTTATTATCATCTAGACTAATACAGCTTGAGAATCAAATTTCTCATTATAAAAACACTGCCTTGCACCACGTAAGGCACAGGAATATGGATAAATCAGGCAGAGAGCCAACAGAGGGGAAGGAAATCTAGGCACATTTAGTAAAATTTAACTAGCTAATATTTATTTGCAGCAGTTTTTTAAAAACACAGTTGCCATAAGCAAAATTCCTCAAAAGACTAGCTAAAACAGTGGAGAAAAAGAACGCCAGCATAAATATTTACTGTGTTAAGAGTCCCCATGCCCTGCTTTGTCAGGTAAAAATAATTTTTAGACATTTCTCAAAAATGACTTCATGAGATACAATTAACAATGACTAATGGAGAATCTAATAAATTATACATTATCTGCAAGATTCTATAAAATTTAATCAGTTTGAAATAATTTAAGAGTCATTTAAATGGTCAAGACCACAAAGCTGTAAGAAGTGGTATATCAAATGACACCTAAAAAAACAGTGACTAAACTTAGTGCATTTTCCAACAGTGTAGGTAGGTCTTCTCCATAAGAATGCTTTGACAAGTGAAAAAGTAAAGTCCTAAAACTGTGATATAAAAATATACTTGCTTTATTTGAAATAAAATAAAAAAGAAGATTGTACACAAAAGTTAACAATGTGAAAACAGGGAGATTCTTTTGGGCTTTTTGTCCTGTCCTCCTTCCCCCCTCTCAAAATCCAAATGTCTTAAAATAAGTTTTTTGAATCAGGATAAATAAAAACGTGTATTTAAATGAAAAATAACTAATAAGGCACTGAGCCTGACTGCTTAGTCACAACAACTTCCTCATCAAAAACAGAGCACCTTAAGACTATTAAATAAAAGATTCACAACAGAATGGGCAATGATTTTTCTTGCACAGTGGACAGAGTGGGGGTACAGATACATACAAACTCTCTATCTTAGGCTGCACGGAAAGGTATAAAATAAAGGGAATAGTTTTTTGAGTCATTCTGACTTAGATTCAAATTCCTGTTACTCGGTTTATCTAGCTGTGCAACCTGGGCAAGCTACTCCATCTCACTAAGTCTTAGCCTTCTCTGTAAAAGAAGGGTGTTGAGGAGATAACCTATGATCAATATTTAGATACAGACAAACAGATACGGCTTGGCACAAGTAGGAGGAAGTAGGTGTATACAAGTTTCCCCTTTTCCCTTGGAAAACTTCTACTTACACAGCTACTTGATCAGTGGTGTACTAATTCAAAAGCACTCTAAGTCTCCTTTGAAGGAAGAACTTCACATTTTGGCACAGAAAATACAAAGCTCAAAAAAGAAACTTCCATACCAATTAGCAACCTCTAATTATTTTTTGAAATATATGGCTTCAGGATAGTCTTAGCAAACTACTAGAAAGAAAGAAATAGAAATATTTTTTATTTAACTAGTATTTATTGAACTCTCACCATGTGCCAGGCATTGCTATAGGTGCTGGGACTACAGCCATAAATAAACAAGATAAAGTTCCAGATCTCAGAGAATGTACATTCTAGTTATAAAACCAAGCTAGCATTTAGAGGAAGAAAAGGGGGTGGACCAGGAGTGATCTCATATAACAACAACTTAGAACAAACGTAATTTTATTTTTTCTGGTCCTCTAGGAGATCATCCTTTTGGGGTTACAAACTTGTTTGAGGAACTGATGACACAACTCTAAATCATTAGAGAATGTGTATGCACACACATAAACATATCTGCAAAGACTTTTGGGAGGTTCACAAACCCCCTTATGCTAGAAGTTTTTTCACAGATTTTGATTTTAAAGCTGGGAAAATATCAATATTGCTTACATTAATTGAACATATTCTAAAAAGTTGAACTAAAAAATAACTTAATAGTGAACTTTCTGAATATATTTTAAATGACCTAAGTTGACATATATCCAACTCAGCTTTTAAAAATACATTTATTAACCAAAAGATTTTAATATAAGAAAAATAGATGAATCTCTATCTCTAATGGTACTGTGTATAGGCATTTACAGCAGAAAAATTCTGTATGTGATACAAAGTAGACATTTTAGGAATCTAAACAATCGCTGTTAACTCTGGCTAGCTTCTTTTAAAGAAAAAAAACTGAATAAAAATTATTTTTGTTATTTAAGCAAAATTGTTTTAAATAATACCTCCCAAGTGTCTTCTTCTCTGCATTTCTACCAGACTTTTGTCTTTCCCATTCTGCAAGTTACCTGTATCAGCTCCTGCCACTGTGTACTTCCCGGCAACATCTTCCAGATGGCACAGATCTAACCAAGTTGAAAAGCATTTGCGAAGCACTTCTGTGCCTAACTCACTGCTTTAGTAGGTCAAGTTAAGAGCTAAGAATTTAATCAAACATCTATAATTTCTTCATTTTATGTTTCTTTTATATTTTTAGTACATTTCTGCTACTTGTGATTATTGTTCAACATTTTTCCAAGGTCATAATTACTCTGAAAGGGTAATGTTTCCTAAAATGGGATTCTGGGCTGCAAAAGTGAGGTTTTTTTTTTTTTTTTTTTTAACAACAAATAGGAAAGGTTCTCAAATCCACACATCTATCTCTAACGATGGGTTTACACTCATGTGATCTCTGCAATCATTTCACAACTATTTGACTTCCAGCCTCTCTTTAATCTAATACTGCACACTTCTAACAGAGTAAAATACCACAGATATCCACAGATATTCCTTTGAGTCTATCATTTTAATGCTCCAAACATATGGTGGCTCCTCACTTTAAAACACAAAGTTCAAAAGTCCTCTCTAGTCTCTCCAGAAATACTTCTGGCACCTGAATTCTTTGTCACCACTGCAGTTCTCTGCTCTAGCCAAAATGATGTTCTTCCTTTCAAAGAACCATTACCTTCCTCCTTTCATTTCTGCCATTCAAACCATTCTTCAAATCCCATTTTCTCTCTGAAAATCTGACTTTGCAAGCAATCATTGTACAATACATATGGCAATTAATCACATTCTATATTTCATCATCTTTTTATTCTTTAGTAAATAATGTGAAACCATTTATTATTTACCTTTTGTTTTAAATCTACATTGCCAGCTGCACTGAGAGTAGGGATGGGGGACCATGCCTTACGTTTTGTGATCAGTCTCCTCCCCACATCAATTCACTACATGGTAGATTGTCAGTGCTTGATCTTAGAAAGTTTATATATAAAGGTAATTAACTATACATCTCCTTAATTTATACAGTCAGATAATAATCATATTTAAGGCAATTTAATATTCTGAGCATCTCCCCTCAGTTTCATGGTTCTGTTGCCTATTTATTCACAGTTTATATAGCTGCTATGTATAAGCATCTCCTATTTTTTTTTTAAAAAGCTTCAAATTCATCCTTGGTATGTTAAACAGAAATTTCGGGTTATAAAACTTTTTTTTTTTTTTTTGGAGTGAAAGCTGCCAACTTTCTTGAGAGACCAAGAAATTCAGCGAAGTATAATGAAATAATTTTTCCCGATTACACACAAAGGTTGAATTTGCAAAAACATAAGGAAACAGGAGTACTTATAAGGCCAATAATCAATAACTATTTGAGGGCTTATTTCCTCTAAACATGGTGGCGAATGCTGTGAAGAATCTATGGCTAGCTGAAGAGGTAAGACTCTCTTTACCTCCCAATTACCACCATCTTTTTAGCTGTTATCAACATCCTATTCTCATTTCTTTTAGGATTCTCTAAATGCATTACATAACATATCTTTAATTTCCACAGCTTTGAATATAATTCTTAATACTATGAGGCACCTGTCACAAAATGAAGACTCATAATCACTGCTCCAGACCAAGATATAAATTGTTAGTAGTAATATATAGCATCACTGTGATTCCACTAACTAAAATGTATACTTGTAAAATTTCCCCTTTTGTCAGAATACTTTTTATTGTTAAGAAAAAAATAAATTATGTGAGACTTCTGTGCAATAAAGAACCCTGGGAAAACAGTGCAATTGAGATGATATATAATTTTTCCCAGTGACTAATGTCTCTCTCAATACCTGCCAAGAGGAGCTGGAGACTCAGAAGGTGAGTCTATTTCTTCTCAACAAGTTTCATTATTAAGTTTGGCTCCCTTAAATCTTTGCAGCATACATGTTAAAAATTAAATTATTCATTTTTAGATGTCCAAAAACCTTGAAAACTCTATGAGAAGATAGTTACTTGAAGTACTGACTTTGAAATTTAGGGCAATTTTTTAAAATGACACTGTTTTGACTTCTGGTACTAATACTAAAATAAAACAAACTACGGAGGAGCAGCAGACAGCTCATCCATATTCCTAAGGAAGGTAAAGGGACAGACAAAGCGTTTTGCTCTGGTGAAGCACAGCAGGGTACAACAAAAATGGTTACCCCAGTTCAACACACAACCCACAGCACAGTAAGAATATTAGAAAGAAATTATCCTCAGGTGTTCAATTGGGCACACAGGGGCACTAAAAGGTCGGGTCTTTAAAATAATAACTGATTTTTATCACTGTCAGTGATGGTAGCAGCCTGCTGGAGAAGAAACTAAGATATTGCAAAGCACATTTTTTGACTCAAAATTAAGGCTTAAGGGAAGAGAAGAAGGAAAGGCAGACACACAGGGAGAAAGTAAGTACAGCCCAAACAAAAGGGTATTTGAAGCCCATTAAGTGACAACAAACCTATCTACAAAGCAGAACTTTCTCTCTACCTCGACTTCATACATTTCTTTAAACTTTAACTGCCTCCTTAAAATGAAAAGCAGTCATAAATTATTATAGATTTCATTGTGTGAATCCATTCATATCTAGCATTTATATTACAAAGTTATTTAAAATACTTAAGAAATAAAATAAAACTTACCCCATCACTTTCTCTATGTGGATTCAGCCTACTATAAACAGCTTCAATAACGTTGCGCCTAAAAAAAATTATGCTTTAGTTTTATTAAGTTACATACAATTATTATTAAGCCTCTAAGTATTTAAAATAATACTTCACATCTTGACTATACTCAAAAAAAATTAACTGCTGCACTAAATACTTGCCAAGAACACAGTTTATGAATTTCATGCAGAATTTGATCCTGCACAATCCATTTCTCACTTACCAAGGAAAGAAGGGCCTTCATCCTCAAAGAGTAAAATAAATAATTCCTTTAAAAAATTCTCTTTTGGATGGAATTTTAGAGTTCTTCTCTGATATAAGAACTATCAACCCACTTCATGTTTAGATAATTGATGTACTTCTTCCTAAAATTATTTAATTACTAAGTATAAATGAAGTCAAAATTAGTTCTTTTTGTTCTACTTACTTGCCAGCAAGACCTCCCCCAGGAGGCAAATTTGGGATATTTTCTGCAGACAAGATGCGCACGACATGGGCAAGATCAGGCATTCCTCCCTCACCAGACTTCTTCATAATTTCTGTAGGTTTTGAAAAAGAGTTTCTAAATTAATGTGATAACTCCTATTCACAAAGTGAAACGAGCTACTATTGGGTAGTGCCTATTTTAAAATATGAAAAGCAGATATCACCTTACTACCACACAAGGAACAAAAAAAGATTAAAAGTTATTTGCATATATATGCTCTAGCACTATTCATAAAAGCAAAAATTGGAACAAATTAAATGTCCAATAAAGGGACAGTTAAGAAAATTTGTGTATAGCCACTGAGAGAAATGGTTTTTAATCACTAAAAATGATCCCTATGAACATAGCACAGCTACATGGAAAAACAGTTTTTTTCTATTCTATGTAAAAATATAAAAGTTATTAATACTGTAATTCAAGGAAAACAAAAGCAATGGATGGATAAGGATTATAAAGAGAAAGGGGAAAATTAAAGTGTTTTTACAGATTTTTTGATGCCTAAATAGTTATGCTCCACAATAATTTAAAACAAAAAAGAAAAATAAATCTCAGAACTTGCTAATATTGAGAACAAAATAAAACATTTACATGTTCCATTTATACTTACAATTTACGGAAAACAGATTTTTAAGGCATAATTATTTGGCCAGTATCAACACATAAACTCCTCAAAAATCAGACAATGGCAACTTACTTTTAAGACAACAAAGAGCAGTGTCCTAAGCAGCCGTCAAGATGCAAAATCCAAACTGTTTCCCATGTCTCACAAGGCCCCCGACCATGACCTTAACTTTCACCACTCCCATTCAACTCTGCTCAACTCCCACCTCGCATCTCCAAAGACTCTATTCAAAGAAGCCTTCTACATGTCTAGATTTTCACATATACTTCCTCTCTCGCTTTGGAACACTTTTTACACCAATCCAACCAACTCCTTTGTATGGTTAAACTGTATTCATCCTTCAGGTTTCAATTTATATGTCACTATGTCAAATTCTTCTCTGACCCAAACCTGGCATAGGTGTATTGCTACATACTCCCACTGTACACGAGGTTTCCTGTATCATAGACTGCAACCTTCAGGAAGGCAGCACTGCAATTTTTCTACATTACACTTGTATCTTTGTATTCAGGGTTTCTCATCCTCAGCATTACTGATATTTTGGACAATTAGTGTGTGTGCGTGTGAAGGCTGTTTTGCACTACAGAATGTAACATCCTGAGCTCACTCACTAGATCCCAGTGGCATTGCCTCAGTTATGACACCAAAATGTCTCCAGGCATTGCCACATGTCTCCTTAGGGGAAAAAATCTCCCCCAAATGAGACCCACTGTGGTCTAGCCCTTTACCAACCAATCTTCACACCCTTCCACTAGTGCCGCTGCAGCCGAATCCACCCCCATCATCTGCCTCCTGTATTGATGCATGATTCCTAACTGGTCTCTATGCTTCCTCTCTTGTCCCCTCTTTACAATCTCTTCTTCACAAAGCAACTGAGAGGGCCCCTTTAAAAAAGTCAGTTCATGTCACTCTTGCACTCAAAATCTTCCAGTGACTTCCCATCACCATTTGAATAAAGTCCAAAGTCCTCATTTTGGTCTGCAGACCTACATGATCTGCTTCTCAGCAACCTCTCTCTCCTAGTCTTACACTTTTCTACCAGTTTATCCTAATCCAGCCACACACTCTAATCACATTCCCTCCTCAGTCTCTGCTGCTCCCTTTGCCTCCAATGTTCCTCCCTCAGATAGCCACTCTCCCACACACAGGCATCTGCTCAAGCGTTTTTCCTCACAGAGACCCTTGTAACCAATATTCCTTGTTAATATCTGCTTCTTGCTTTGTTTTTCTTCAACTTAAAAAAAAAACTACTGGTTTCTACTAGAACATAAACTCCATGAGATCAAGAACGTATTTGCTTTGTTTTCTGTTCCATCCCCAGTGACACACATGCTCAGGGAAAGCTGAAGAAGAGAATACATGCAGAAGGCACTCACCAAATACCTAATTAATCAATTTAGGTTAAAGACTAGTCCCTGTTCATTTTAGCATCACACCTCACCCTCCCACTCCCACTAAAAACACATACACAGATTTGCCAATACACCAGAATGGTTTTACCTCAAAATTTTAATGTCAGACTACATGATTTAAAACCCTAACAGAAATACAATGCTCTTGAAGACACTGTCTTATAGAAAAGTTAGGTACCAGGGAATACTGACTTATAGTGGCTGCTTTTGTCAAGGATGTTTAAGTCTTTTTTGACTGAGTGATTAGAATCAAGCATTTGTCACAGGCCCCCGAGATCATTTCATAATATTACCTGTCATCTCTGCCACATAATATTTATTTTGGAAAATTAAAATTACGTAAAAGAAAATTAATACCGAATGTTAACAACCTAGATTGAGCTGAACTGACCTCATATTTAAGAAATTAAAATTTAGCTGTTACACAAGAGTTAATAAAAGCTATGGTTTGCTGAAGATTTATTTGTTAGGCACCATATCAGGTACTTAACAAAGTTATCTCATTCATTTATAAAAACAACCTCCATGGTTGGTGTTTTTATCTTTAGTTCATAATAAAGAAGGGAGCCTTAAGAGATTAGGCAAGTTAGCCAAGATCACATAATAAGTAGGCTAACCAAAATGAAGAGTTTTTCCCCAAATGAAAACTATCTAATTTCCTTTTTATGAATGAGGAAATAGGACAGTAAGAAAACACTTCTTGTCTTCTGATAAACTTGAACCAGCAATCACCCACCCAAACACAATAGAGCTTATCAGAAAATGGGTATTATTAACAACTTCTATAAACAGCTCCTCTTATTATCAACAGAAATAAGAGAGCCTCTGACATGGTCTTCAAAGTGTTCACATATGTTTCGTATCTTTCCATTATCCTGAAAGCAGAGCTCACAATTCAGAGCTCAAGAAATTACAGATCAACAGAAAAACTCTTTAAGCACCTTGCTTAGAGTTTGACAGCTGTAAATTCAGAAAAGATAAATCTGCCCCCCTCCCCAAAGCTGCAGAAGAATGTAATTTTCCTTCAGTAATTACACATTTGAAGTTACAAATCTTCACATTTCAAAACTCTACCATTTACTATAGCTACATATTTGGACGTATGTCCAAAATATGACTAATAGGCTAAATTCAACAAGCCTACTACACCATAATCATTCAAATTTATCATTAAAAATAATAACAGGTCATAAAAGTATAACAAAAATATAGGTCAGTATGTAACCCTGAATTGAGGAAAGAATTTTGTAAGAATGATTATCAACTAGGGGGTGGGGGGTTGAAAGAGGGGGTGAGGAGAAAGGAAGGAGAGATATACTATAACTTTGTAAAAAGTAATTTTACATCTTAAGAACAGCACATATAAAATCAAAATGAAGTATTAAGTTCATTTTCAATATCAGTCTCTAACATGTATTCTCTATCAAGGTAACCACTAAATGAGTTTTTAAAAGAATGAATATTAATAAGCAAATGCAGGGATAAACTGGAATAGAAAATAGTGACTAATCCAAAAGGCAAGGAGAAAAAGGGAAAAAGAATAGGTGGAACATATGTAAACAAACAAGATGATAGATTTAAACCCAAACATATCAGCAACAATATTAAACAGACAAGCTTCTCCACTCCCTCATTCCTGAATAATGGATTTTTAGCCCAAAGAACTTAACACAATTTTAAAAGAATTACCTGATTAAAAAATGCTATTTTTCCTTTCCTTCTTAAAAAAAAAAGAAAGAAAAAGAAAAAAAAAAGAAAGAAAGAAAGAAAGAAAGAAAGAAAGAAAAGCATCTTTCTTACCTTCTACCCGTGATTCCAAGTACTTATCCAACTCTGAATCTTTTCTCACTGCTTCGTCTGAGACCTTGGGGGCATTTGAAAAGCAAACTAGTACAATACTCATGTTATCTCGACTTCCCTGTATATTAAAGAAAGAAAAAGAAAAACTGTGTTTTTACAGTCTCCCAACTTTGTATTATTTATTTCAAAATAGATTCAATCACATCAAGCAATTATAATTTAATCATCTAATTGTACAGCCTTCACCTTCATTCCAAAGAACTGTTTGAAACACACCCGAAGAAGCAAGGACTCCAGGTATGGGTAGATCTGTAATTATTCTATGACTTTTGATTCTGTATACCTCTTCTCATCCACCACCATTCCACAACCTGAGAAATAAGGTATCTTCATACATATTAAATCTTGAAATCTACTTCCTATTCAAGATTGAATATTCCCAAAGTGATGCAGGTCCAAAACACTTCCTCCCAAAGAAATGTGCCATTTTCCCCTAATTAACCTGCATCAGGGCAATGCTACTGAAACTACTGACATAGCTGAAAACTGCTGATCATTAGACACTAAGACACTAAACTGAACAACAAGCAGAGAAGAAAAATTAAACTGGAAACTGTTTTGAGAGTATTGAACAATGGAATGTAACTGGATGACTGCGATACACTGTAGTTACATGTAATAATTTTTGAAGAAATGACATCACACTGTTATACAGAATTACAAATAGTGTCAGGATCTGTAGAGAGCAGCTAAAAACTGCTAAATTAAGGACAAATTTTACTTACTGCTGCCTTTTAAATAACACCATCACAAAAGATCTATATTAAAAAAAAGTACAGAATATATACTATGCTATTACCATGAGACTACAAGCAATAAATTTTAAACACTTTATTACTTTTCTTGTAGATGTATTTAAGTTTCTTAGAACAGAATGAAACTATTCTTAGAATAGTGATTTAACACCGCCCCCCCTCTTTTCCATTCATCATTCTAAAAAACTAGTCAGTAAAGGTGGGATTTGCCAACCCAAGTGAAAAGAGCCAAGGCCACACCCATGCTAGTCTTTTCAGTCATTATGGCCAGAATTTTGGCAGGCATTGTTTGCTTAAGACTTGCCACCTTTTGGGGACCCACATGACACAGCCAAAGACTGAGGCAGCCCTTGAAAAACTGCTACCACCTCCTAAAACTCAATGGAGCCAAGTTTGAAGGCAGAAAAGGATGGATCTTAAGAAGACTTCAAAAAGAGTAACACTTCCCAGATTCTCATGCTTTAGAAGAATCGTTATGAGAAACAGATTCTCAATATCTGGGGGAAAAAAAAATCAGTATTTCCAAATTAGCCCAAACAAATTTCATTCCTTAATGAAACCCACCAAACCCTTCATAATGACTTAAGATTAGATATACTACATTGGCTGTGTATACATACATATATATGTAGAGAGAGAGAGGAGGGAGGGAGAGGGAGGGAGGGAGGGAGAGAGAGAGACAGACGCACACAAACACACATATATTAAAACTTGATGGTTCCAAATAGCAATACATTTCACAGGAATCAGAATTTACCATGGAAACTCAGGTCAGGCAAAAACTCTACACCAGATACTCAAGAACCAATCATTCCTTGAATACCAATGATTTTTTAAAAGCAATTTTATGAATAAACAGAATTAACACCTTACATTTTTAGAAATCCAGTTTCTTCTAACCATTTTCTAATTTGATAATAGGAGTATTCTTTAGCCATTCCTAATCTATTTATATATATATATAAAATTTCCATTAGATTTTTGTAAGTTATAAAATATACATCCCTATGATTTGGAAAATTAACTGAAAGATAGTTTCAAAAAGTTTAAATACCCAAAGATATTTAAAGGAAATAATTTACATTAACACATCGGCATGTGTGATTTCAATGACGGTGCTTCTATTTCTGCATAAAGATGACTTTCCCCTAAACACAAAGTATAAGTATATTTGAGTAATTTTTATACAGCAATTGGAAAAGATCCTTCCCTTTATGCTCCTTTAAATTTTCTAGAGATAAATCATCCTTGCATAATCAGCATAAATTTTTTGTTAAGTCCAGAAATGAAATATGATTAACCAAAAAAAAAAAAAAAAGGAAACAAAAAAACCTCCACCAAACCAGCTTGAACAACTAAGGCAATTAGCTAGATGTTTAAGACTAATTATTTCAGTATCTTTCCTTTTTATTTTTTAAAAAAATTTTGACAAAAGCACAGCACTAGTATTCTACAGAATCAGAGCTTTAACAGACAATTATAGGTCAAAGTAGCAGTGGCCCTGCCGTAAGTAAGGATGCCTAAAATTAATGAGAAAATAATTTGATGCTGTTAGTTTGTTTTGAGAGCTTGTTTGGAGGTTCTAGCAGGGGAGCGCAGCTACTCGTATACCCTTGACCGAGAACGGTCCTCCTCTATCGGGGATGGCCGTCCTCTTCGACAGAGCGTGCAGCTTCCGGACGGACGCACATTGAGCGGTGAAGGAGGAAGGGGACACCCGCCTAGCTAGACAGATCAGCCGAATCAACTCTGGTGATCAGTGGGGTGACAGATGTCACAGCCAGATTGCCCTCACATCCAGTTTCAGTTTTGGGCGTTTTTTTTTCTTTACTTTTTTTTGGGTGGGGGCGTCAGTTTATTTGTTTGTTTGTTTTAAATGGAGGTACTGGGGATCAAACCCAGGACCTTGTGCATGCTAAGCTGGCACTCTACCATTGAGTTATACCTTCCCTCAACACTGTTACAAGTTGACTGCCTCATGGATTCAAAGAAGCATCCTGGATTAAGTGTTAACACAGCATATGAAATAGGTTGTGAACAGAATCTCTGTTACCATCAAAAGTTAACTAATGAGTATCTGATAGGAAACGATCAGTATTCTTCATTTTTTAATCAATTTTTTACAACCTGGCACTCACTGCAGTTATCTCACTTACATACAGTTCAAAAAACAGCCAAGCATAAGGAATAGACCAAATTTTCACCTATCCATGAAAGATGAAGCCTATCATTACTTCCTTTCAAGAATACTCAATTCTACCATAACCTAATAGCCCGAACCTTTATTTCCTCCATACAAATTTATTTCTGTTTCATAATCATCATCAATAGCAGTAAAACTTATTGAGGTCTGTAAACCAGATACTGTTCAGGCACTTGCCAAAAGCTTTATTTACTCTCAACTCCATGAAGAAGATATTATCATCTCTATTTTATAAGATGAAGAAGCTGAAGCTTGGCCCAAATTCATAGTAAGTGGCACAGAATAACTTAAAACAGCTGTATGGTTCCAAAGCCTACATCCTAGTACTAAACCTGGGTTCTAAACAGTGCCAAGGAGCCCCAGAGGGTCATAGAGCACTCAGAGTTATTTTAAACGAGGAGGAAACAGCAGTACTCAACATCTGTAGAAACTAGCCCGCTGTAGTTCACACTTTTAACGTTAGATAGCGCTATATGCCTCTTGATGACATTCTATCTTTCCAAAGCTGAGGTTTTGGGGATTGCTGAATAAAAAGCAAATCCTCATAAAAGTCAATGTGTTACAGGAAACAAGGGTGGCAATGCCCAATGACTCCAAGGTTTGAGAAGTTGTGCAGTGTCCAACAAGTGCACACATCTCATTAGTATTTAACTGGAGTCTTTTAAAGAGTGAAATAAAACATTTTTTCCATGTATGTGTATTATTCTGTTAAGACAGATCTACTCACTGAGTTTGGATCTAACTACTTAATACTTGTAACTGTCAAACATTAATAGGGCCAAGCAGCACTGTGAAAAAAAAAATTGAGATACTCAGGCACCATGAACCAAGGAAGTATGGGAATTTCTATACTACATATGATGTTCTTTTACACCCTTCTCTTCTATACTTCAAAATACCCAACCACACCCCACTCTAATATTATCTACGTCTACTTTTGCATTATTTATGATGATATTTGAAAACTATACGGAAAAACTGAGTTTAGAGCTAAACAATTATTGTGGGGGGTATATACAAGTACATTTTTCATGTTTTATCAATAACCTGGACTGATACTGCCTCTGGACATTGTTATTAATTTCCCCTCAATTTAATCCAACTATCAGGTATTATCTCACGTTTTAAAATAAACACGCTTCTGACAGGTGGTGTATACAATATAAATTAAGGAAAATCAAATTATATTTAAAAAACCAATTTAAAGGAATATTGGTATTTATGATTTAAGAAAAGCAAAGCAGTGGCAAAGTAACATGCATAGTATGAGCCATTTTTGTAAAAAGACAAAAAACAAAAACAAAAGGAAAGAAAACCTTATTTTTTAAATACTTTTATACATTTGTGTGAATTAACACAGAAAACTATTTGGAAGGATATATAATATGCAAACTCTAAACAGGGTTTACCTAAGGGCGATGAGACTGATGAGGGACATAAAGATTAATAAATACTTCAAACACTGTTGTATTTGTTCAAAACTTCTAAAATTAATCTTATAATTACTGAAGAAAGAAAAGGAAAATCTTAATGTTTCCTTGGGAAAATTTTTTTATCAAACCCTCTGGGAAATACTGGCAATATATACACAAAATTTGAGTCAGAAAACTTGGATTCTAGTCTCTGCTTCAACAGTCACCAAATAGCTGACATAAAGTTTGTTTTTTAAAACAGCCTTTTAATGACAAACCTCTAATTTCTTACTAGCAAATTAGAAATAAAAATTTTTATTTTATTCCCCTCAAAAGTTTCTATGAGGATAAATGAAATGAGTGTGATTTCTAAGTTATGAAAGGCAATGGAAATAGGAGTTACATATTCTATGCAACCTGAAATTCATTAGTATAAACACCATGAATACTAGTAGCACTGGCAATAAAATGGGAAAGCTGCTTTCTTAGGGACCATTCTCCCCTAGTGTTAATTATCTAAATAGGGTGATACCTGACCAGAGTCATCCAATACTTACAGCTTCATGTTGTTAACAACCCTGAAAGATGATTATCATCAACAATAATAATGCTAACGACCCTTTAAGTTTGTTGTGAAAATTAAACAAGTTAAAATGTGTTAAGTGTTTAGAATAGTATTTGGCTAACAAAAAGCAATAATTTATTGATATTACAGTGATTACAATGATCATAATCTCCAAAGATTTCATGAGTTAACGTGTAAAAGTTCTTGTAAACTATTAGGGCATGACAAGTGTTAGAAAATATTAACACTTAATTTCAATCTATTATCAGGAAAACATCTTTAAAACATTTACTTAAAAATTAGATATACTTCTCTCTCTCCTCTTCAAGCAGCTAACACCTACCGAACAATTGCCAAGTGCTAAGCACTGGCCTACATGCTTTCCATGGATTTTAAAATTTAGATTCAATCTTTCAGATTTAATTCAAAGCAATCATATATTTTAATCATATTGTTTTATAATACTGCTAACCCTTGGTTTTACAATACAAACAACTTGAATGACAAAATTATGGAGTTAGAAAAAAACAGGAATGGTAAGAGGTTTATTTAGTCCTATAAGCAGCATGCAGTGTTGGTTCAAAAATTAATACATCTGTTATGTTTCAACACAAAACAGCTAACTCAGGTTCTCAAAACTGATTTCAATTTAAATACCACTTCATTCAAACTATGATGGTCAACCTCATTCAACTAAATTAAATGAAGAGGCTGGTGTTCCAAACCCTTGTCCCTTTTATCATTTCTCATTTCTGAGATTCTACCTAATCTTTTAACACCCTAAACAGAAATATTGAATCACCTTAAACTGATAAAAACCTATCAAATGGAGATACGCCACCAGAATCATTTAAAACCCATTCAGAAGGATGGAGTCAAAATTCCTGAAAACTAACATCCAAAATTTCAACGTAAGGGGGAGTGCAGTTAATCCCCAATATAAACGTCTTTCTTTACTCCAAATTACAGACTTAACAGATTTCTGGTTATTTCCTCAAAACTGCATGTCATTCTGCTATAGAACCACAAAAAATAATTTAGATCAATACATACAGACATAGAGATCTCTCTACTACATATTGTTGAACAAAAAGGCAGATTGTAGAATAAGTAAAATGATCTCATTTTTATAAAAAAAAACACATTTTTCTGAAGCAGGGAATACTGGAAAAACATATACCACATTAATGAAAATAGCCAACTTAGGTGGGTGGCAAATTTTGAGTGTTTCTTTACATATTCTGTAATATCTAGATTTTTAAAAATATACTCTGTATTATTTGGATTTTTTTTCCCAATAACAAGAATACACTTCTTTTTCCCCCAAATAATTGGGGAAAATGCTGTTTTCACTTCCTAGTTAGGTAAAAAAAAACATGCATGGTTTTGTCTCAAAAAGCTGCAGGTCAGAATCTCCATTTAGAGTCCAGAGGGGAAGACATTTTTAGAGCCACTTACTATTCGATCACTGACAACCACAAATATTTCTGTACTTAATTCATCCAGAGAACTGAAAAGGATACAATGTGCTTTCAAAACAAATAAAAAACAGAAGAGCCAGAGGTATCATCATTAAAATCCTTTCAGAAAAAGGCTGCCACCTGGAAACACCAGCCCTTAAATTTTCTTTTTGAAGTTGTCTCTTCCCATTCTAGAAAAGTAGATGCTCCAGCAAAACCTGGATATTTCCAGAGATCCTTTGAATAACTTTCTGGCCATGCCTCTATCTTCCACAGCAACTGTCATGGTAAGGAAATAAAATGGCTCTAATCTAGATAAGATAAATAAGTCAAATATCATATAACCAAAGGTTAGTTTTGGCTTGGTATCTTTTCAATCAGTCACAGAATACCTGCATATTCTAGGCAATGGCCAGATAACTCAAATTTTAATTGATGACTATACAGACACTGTCAAAAACCCACTTGAAACTACTGAACATTTTAAAGATATCCAAGGAAATTGCTAGTTATCTGTTAAGTCTAGATTCACTCCCCCCCATTACTGTTTGAAGTTAAGACTCATAGACTATTACAAACGTAAATTAAAGTTAAGTGTTCCACAGGAATTTTTCATAGGATTGTATTTTATAATAGTCTTTTGTTTTTTAATCAGTGATGATTAAAAATATCTATATGGAAAAGAATTTTAATCTCTTCTATAAAAGTAGGATATTCTCTACCATGTCATACATTATTTATATAAAGAGTCACATGTAAATTCCTTTTAGATTTTATTGCTAGGAAAAAGCTTTTTTCACTACATAATAAGAAATATACAATTCTTACTTCAGTTTTTGTCTTAGCTGCTAGCAGGCTCAGAACTAAATTACAGAACTTTGGTCTAAGTTCCTGGTATATCTTTCAATATTTTATGTGGCTCTTGATCATTTGTACATCTAGTACAGAATCATACTATATATATGTATATTATCAAACTGCTTCATAATCAGGCATAAGACAACTACTGTCAATGTTGAGAATTATAATGAAAAGTCACAATTCTGTATGGATGCCACTGCCACAACATGCCATACTTAAATGACAACAAATTTATTAAACTTAATTTTCCAATTAGAAGGTTGAGACAAATAAGGATGGTGAAGAAAATAATTTTGAAATATATATAGGTCTTCCCTAATGAAAATACTAAAAGTTTTAAAACTTTAAGTTTGCTTAATTTTACTTACCATGCCTTATCAAAACTAGTAGGGTATATTAATTATAATAAAAAGACTTACATACCTTATGTAAACAAGTGTCCACTACCCAATTGCACACATTTTCCAGGTCATCAGATACCTCAAGCCTAGATTTAACAAATTCACAGAGCTCCTCATTACTCATAACATCCCAGATCCCATCACAAGCCAAGATGATAAACTCATCCTCTTCTGCTCTTAAAATTTCATAAACCTCAGGCTCTGGAGAAACAAGTTGTTCTGTTGGACCCTTGCCATCAACACACTTGTAATCATAGTCCCCCAGAGCACGAGATACTGCTAACGATCCATTAACACGCTGTATCATTACGCTGCCTCCTGCATTTTGGATTCGCTCCTTCTCCCTTGGGTTGCAAGGTTTGTGATCCTGGGTAGAAAAGCAGACTTGTCCATTCCTATACAGAACAGCACGTGAATCGCCACAGTTGATAAAGTAGACATGCTTAGGTGAAATCATAACTCCCACGGCAGTTGAACCGCTCCTGTCCATGCCATTTCTGAGGTCTGAAAAGTTACGCATGTATTCATCGATTTTCAAAAAGCCAGTTCTGATACCATTCTTGACGTTTTCCACTGAAGGCTCAAGAGCAGATCCTGATTTTCCAGCTGCCCTAAAGTCTTCGTTATTAGTGATGTGTTCTAATAAATGTGTTGAGCAATAATTTGCTACTCGGGATCCAGCGTGACCATCATAAACTGCAAAAAATGACCAGTCCTCCAAGCCGTGAGGAATACCTACAACAGCTGTGTGTGCATCTTCCATTTCCACTCTCCATCCTTGCATGCTGCTCAGGCCATAACGTAAACCATTCCCAGCACCATGAGCATTATGTTTCTCAGTTTTAGGTTTATCCAAAAATGCACCCATGTTTATTAATGAATCTGAAAGGGAAAAAAATTGTAGGTGTTACATGTTAAAAATTTCTTGTACATGTTTAAATTGGATAGAAAATTTATCTACAATATTCTACCTATTTTCTAGTAAATCCTAATCTCAAGTATATTTTTTTCAGTATTATCCAACTTTACTAGAACAGCAAAAAAGAAGCCAAGAAAATATCCCCATACATCCTTCTTCTAGAACAGTGGTTTTTCAATCCTAGCACATTAGAATCTCTGGGGTTGGGACCTAAATACCAGTAGTTTTTTTAAAAAGCCTCTCTGGTAATTCATATGTGCAGCAAGTTGAAAACCACTGTTCTAGGACAAAGGAAAACCAAGAAACAAAACCTGTTTTTTAAAAAAAAAATTCAGTTTATAACTCTAGGGTTCAGTATATATGAGGGAAAAATCAGAATATTCAGAATGGTGCAACACTTTGATGTAATCAAGTTTTTTTCTGCCAGTGATCCTAAAGACAACTCCAAAATTTAATTAAACATAAAAATCTCGGTTCTACAAACATTTGACTTTGCCTAGGTTTCTCTGCATATCAAATTAAAGACTTTACTTGATTGACTGAAACCCATTACTTGGATTCTCTTAAAAACAAATATAACTTAAATGATGTGCTAAAGAACACACTGCTTAATATTGCCAAGTCTTGCAATCCATAAAGTAGCACTAGGATAGCTTTTACTCAGTGCCGGCTGACAAAGACTTAAAACCATAGAGAACTGTAAAGTACCACTGTGCACCACCCTCCCTCCCAACTTTACCATTATTTTAGAGTAAAGCTTTTCCAATTTCAAACGACTTCAGAAAGGAGAATGCCCTGGTATGCTTCCCACATACAACCCTAGTCCTAACAATTGCTAGTTGTGTGACCTTGAGTAAATTTCTTAGTCACTCGTACCTCAAATTCCTCATCTGTCAAATGGTAGTAACAACAGTAGTACCTACACTTCACAGGGTTGCAGTGAATAATGAGTTAACGCGTAGTGCTTAGAATAGTGCTTGAAACACAGTAAACCTCATAAACTGTTTGCTGTTATTATTTGCTCAAAATACAGATTTCATAGCCTCATCCCTGTAACTAAAGATTTTTTTCCCCAATAGATGTTGGATGAGATCTTCAAAAAAGCATGCTGGCAACTAAAGAATCACATTTTGAGAGACACTTGTCTAGCTCAACTGACTTTCGTGTGGATCTACATATCTTTGTAAGATAACTTTTTCAGCTGTGACTGTTATCTAACTTCACAAGAAAACTATATATTCCTATTTGTAAAAACTCAATGAACCACCACATACGTATTTATAAATTATAGCAATTTTATAACTTTTATGAGTTATACATAATATTGTACCAAGAAATTATATACAAATACTTATAAAAAGGAATTTTGAAAGAATAAGACTTTACACATACATAAAAATTATTTTCATTCAAGTATAATACAAAATTATATTTTGTATTGAGAGCAGTGTAATAGAATATGCTTATTTTTAGCACATTGGTTTAATACTTCAAAACAGTGACTTGAAAGCCTAGTTCTAAGTCATTTTAATTTAGATTGTTTTTAATGCCTATTTCACCTGAAAAGACACCTTATAAAGATGCCTAAATGCAAATTAAACTGAATTGTTGACTGTATTTATCAACCACTTTTCAATCCTAAGTACCATTTATATAAAAAAATACATTTGTTGGCATTGCTGTTTCACATTTCAACAAACAGGTTCAAAACCCACAAGAGCTTCTCATAAGATTTTTAAAAATAGTTTGGAATTTCTATTTCCAAATTTGGTTTTGATTTAGGAATAAAGAAAGGTTGGAAGGCAGGTGGGGTCTTCAATAGAAAGCTAGAGGGGACTGTAGGAACGATAGGGAGGGTGGGCGGCCAGCTTGGAAAACCATCAGGAAACAACAGGACCCCTGAGGCTGGGCAGCCGAATACTGTGAAAGCTACACCAAGAGCAGCCTTGCCTGCTGCTGCTTGCTGATCACTGCAACGCTTTCTCTTTCTGCCTGTTTCCTTTCTGAAAGTCACTTGCTCAAGATTCAAAGTCTGGGAAATTAATATTTATCTGACTGAGCTTCAGTCTCCAGCACACCTATTGGTTGTAAACAGGGATTGAATTCTTCTCCAAATTAGTAATCTTTTTTTTAGGCTCCAAATTGATCTCATTTTAAAGTTGAGGTTGTCCCATTAATGATTTAATTCTTCAAACATCAGGAAATATCATACATATATTTTACATAATGTATACGTACAGCTAAAGAGTAATAAAACAAATACCCACATACCCACCACACAATTTAAGAAATAGAATATTGTCAAGACCGCTGAAGCCTATTTAATCCTGAAATTTATAATCAGTATCCCTTCTAGTTTAACCACATTCATGTGGGACTGTTTAGTTTTATATGTCTGACGCCTTACACTGGTGTGAAGTACAGTATGTATTACTCTAGCACTTTTTTCCTGACTGAATCAACTGTACTTCCGAGATTCATTCACACTGATGCACAGAGCTGTAGTTCCTTCACTATATGCCACTAAGTATTTGTACCACAAGTTTTATCCATTCCACTATCAATGAGTATTTCAGTTCTCATTTTTAAAAATTATAAAACATTGCTGTTTTGAAAAATCTTGGTGCACACGTGTTTTCCTAGAACACATACTTAAATTCCCGTGCTTGAAGTTTACAGTTAATACAGATTTTTCCCCAACAACAAAAAAATCACAAAACAAACCATTTTCAGACATTTCGCAAATGCTCTTTTGCTAACACTATTTTCTTTAAAATAATTATTTTCTAAGTAAATTTCATCTTGATGGGAAGATTAAGAGTGTGTATGTATGTGTCTTCTGTTATCCGAAAATACCCACGTTGGAATTAGCAATTCCTATTTTAAGTTCTCTAGCTCTTCAAAAGCAAAGAACTCGCTATAAGATAATCATCAAATCTCAATGTGGTAAACTGTAGCTTCTCAGTTACTTCTCATCTCTTTTACAGCAAACCCTTAGTATCAACTGGTTCCAAATCCTCAGATTCAACCAACCACAAGTTGAAAATACTCAGGGAAAAACAATTTTCAGAAAGTTCCAAAAAGTAAAACTTGAATTTTCCAGGCAGCAGCAATTTTTACCTAGCATTTATATAGTATCAGGTATTATAAGCAATCTAGTGGTGACACAGGGAGGATGTGCGTAGGTTCTATGCAAATACTACGCCATTTCATATAAGGGACTTGCGCATTGGCATATTTTGGTATCACCGCTGTAAATATCTCACTGGATTTTAAAGTTAAAGGTCTGATTTTTATAAAATTAACTACACTGATGACACCCAAACAACTCTGAACTCCAGATTCAGTTTCTTTGCTGCAGTAATTTGCCTATAAATGATGCCGCGAACGATTTTCACCTTAAGTGACTATGATTTTTCTTCCATAAAAGACTGTCTTTGTTAAAGAAGCATTTACTGTTGAGGATATACATTTGTCTAGCACTTCTTTGCTTTTACTCTTCACTCCCCCAAAATGGATTTTATTACTGAAACAAAACTTAGCAAATACTAAGGGCAAAGTATGTTACAAACATCTATATTTTAATCAATCAATCTAATTTTTTGATAGGAACCTTTTAAAGTCACTTGCTTATTTTTTGAAGACAGTTTAATTAAAACTTGATCAAATGGAAATCAGTGTAATCACAGGTCAACTTCAGTGTGACAGAACGATGAGCACAAATGAAGGAGTGAAAATTCTACCCTTCCCGACAATCTCTCACCAGCCCATGCGTGGGGAAGTGAGTGCCAATCACTACATTAAATGTAATCTGCCCTTTTCAAGATGAAAGACAATAAATAGAAGTTCTAATTTTAAAAAAATTAACACTGACGAATGGTCCTGCATATTCACTTTAGAGACCACCTGGTCTATACAACTCTGTGGGCCTAAGAGTTTTTACAAGGCTGAGGGTATATGCATAGCATGCATTGTCTCAAGACTGAATAAACAATGTTGTCTACACATCTGTCTTTTTCCATTGCCTTCTTTGACAAAAATACATAGCTGAACCCACAGCAGCATAATGTTATTATTTACTTTCTTAATCAGTGGCACACAGTAACTGTACTATCAAGTACGAATCTGAGAAATGATGTTTTAAAAGCAGTTCTCATACACAAAAGATTGGAGAATATTGGCTTTTTACATTTAAGTAATTTGCTTAAATCACTTTAATCACATTTTAAAAATCACTCAAAAGGTTTCACATGTGTTTATATATTACATAGCATTAAATTCTGGGTTGATTTAAAAATGTTTCATTTATAGTTTAAGTGCATGAAACACAGCAGTAAATTATACAACTTTTAATGTACTGGTCACAGGAATACTTTAACAATAGTTCAACAGTGCAGTCACTCATTCAAGCATTTTCTGAGTGCCTACTACATGCTGGGCACGGCATTAGGTAATGGGAATAAGATGCCCCTCCCCTAAAGGAATGTATAAGGCTGGTGGAAGATAAAGACAGTTTGTAAGCTATGAAGGCATACTCTGATACAGGGGTATGATGGGATAAGGACAGGTCTGCCAAGAAGAGGGGTCAAAAAAGCCTTAAGTAGTTAAAATTTTCCAAAGAAAGAAGCCTAAGCTGAGACCTAAAAGAAGTAAGTGGGAGAAGAAATTAGACAACATATACACAGACCAAAAGAAGAGTAAGAGCACAATTAATTTGGTATGATTGCTATGTGTATACACACGAGCATTTCAAGAAGCAAAGAAGAAGCAATGAAATCCTAAGAATGACATTATTTCCTACTGAGATGTCCACTGTCTACTTACCTTGGAATCATGATTTGGGAACTCAAAGATGTGTCATCCCCCTCCTGTCTAAGCAAGCAGCAAACCCAAGTGAGAATAATTGCTTTTTACTGAGAAGAACAAGTCTGGGAAGAAGTTCTAGAGGTTCTAAAATTTAGAC